CAATTTATGACTCTAGCTCCCAATGAAAATAAACAAACAAATAAAATGACATAAAGTTAAAAAGATAATATTATACAATTCAAATAGAGTTGAACTTTTACTAGAGGATCAAGCTGAGCCCAATGTCTGAGTTAGTTAAAAAAGATGATAAAACTTTCAGGATTAAATAAGTGAGTTGATGGCCTGGAACAACTCAGGAAACTAATGATGGATTTCTTAAGAGTGCACACAGGGCAGGATTCTTCACACACGACCTCTTCATGAAAGTTTGGATTGTAGGATGAAGATACAAAGTCGGGAACTTTAGAATAACATTCCTCATCCAGAACCCTCCACATTTTCTCCCAGAGAAGGGAAGAAATAAGCCTCATTAATAAGCAAATGTCAGATGAAACTACTCAGGATTGCCCAAATACAAGTAACAGAAAGACTCACCCCAATCCACTTGGTCTACCTAAATCTTTCTCTTCCTTTGCCAGCCACGTGTCCCAGTGGTTTCCCTCCTCCAAACTGCTATAGAATTTACTATCAGTATCACTTACCAGAGCCCTAACTAGCCATAATTGTTCCTGAGACAAATTCAATTGGAGAGTAGATGAGGACAGAGGGCACAGTTCTATCATAGGTAAAGCCTCGCCAGAAGAAGCAATGTTCTGTGCGTCTGTTGGAGTTAGGAGAGAAGATAGGCTTCTGGAGCAAGGTGCCATAGTGGTAGAATGGTGGGAGTGGTGATCTGAAGGAGATTGTTACCACAGGACTCAAAAAGATGGTAAAGTATGAATAAAGTAAGTCACCACAGAGAGGAAGCATCCTCTTCCATCCTACCCCCAAAAATGTAAAAACCCTGGGACAAAGCCCCATTTACCCCATACTAATTTTGTTTTTGTTACTCCTTAAGGACAGGGACCATTTCATTTTTGCCTTTATATCTCTAGCTAGTTAGTCAAAAGTATTTGTTGTTGTTCAGTCATTTTTTCAGCTGTGTCTGACTCTTCGTGAGCCATTTGGGGTTCTCTTGGCAAAAATACCAGAGTACTTTGCCATTTCCTTCTCCAGCTCATTTTACAGATGAGGAAACTGAGGTCAACAAGGTTAAGTGATTTGCCCAGAGTCACACAGCTAGTGTCTGAGGCCAGATTTGAACTCAGGTCTTCCTGACTCTAGGCCCAACACTCTATCCATTTTGCCATCTAACTGCCTCCAAAGCATTTATTAAGTGACTACTGTATGTCAGAAACTGTAATAAGCACTGAAGATACAAAGAAAAGCAATAGACAGTTCTTGCTCTCAAAAAGCTCACAACCTAATAGAAGAGACAATGAGCAAATAAATACACACAAACAAGCTATATACAAAGAAATAGGAAATAATTAGCAAAAGGAAAGCACTAGAATTAAGAGGGATGGGAAAGCACAGTGCTTGGCACACGGGAGACATTTCTTGCTTCTTGATTGATTGCTACTCACTGAAATACTTATCACTCTTGAATTTATAATTCTTTTAATGTATATATCCCATCTTTTCATCTAGATCATATCTCCTTGAGGATAGGGACAATGTCATATGCATGTTTGTATGTTCAGCACTTTGCCCATAGAAAGAGCTTAATGATTTGATTGATTGACTGTTTCTACACGCTCTGATTCCATCTCTGGATATACAGCTTGGCAAATAAATTAATTCTTTCTCCTTGTGATTCAGCAGCAAATATTTATAATTTACTAACATACACATGTACAAACATGCACATCATGTTTAACATTGTGCTAGCAAACACAGAGACCACTTTTCAGAATTTTGCCATTAAAAGTGTCAAAATAATAATCTTATAATTCATGTGCCCAAATAAGAATATAAAACTTGCTGTTAGATTTTTGAAAGATGTCTTTGGCTTCTGTAAAGGCTTAGAGTGAATAAACTGAGTGAGCTGGGCCACCACAGAATGATGAGATAAATGATTGTTTTTCTCTTGCATTAATAGCTAATTATTGAATCAGAGCCAAGGTTTTTCCCCTTTTCAATTCCTCATCCAGAAATCAACCAGTGCAGGAAATTTTTCTCGAAGATTTACCCAGGCCAAAATCTAATCAGACAGTAAAAGAAATTCTAAGTTTGGACAAATGGGAGGATTCCTGATCATTATGTTTACTCAGACAGATCTGAGAAAATGTGGATCCTCCTTTTGTCAGACAGGTGATATGGAATTTGACCAAGACTTGGGCAATCCAAGTCATATACCTCAAGGCCCTCATGGTAATATTCACTTTCTCATTGTTAACCAGAGCTGATTGTCACCCTCAGGAACACCTACTCTTCCAAGGGTATATAAACTGTGAGCCCACCACCATGAGGGTCTGTGGCATTCAAGAGCATCACTAACCTCACTTTACTAATAAACAAGCTAGCCTTACTAATAAAATGGTTAAATTACCCAGAAACTATGTCTCTTGAGCTTTTAAAATGCCACAATGACAAGAAAAAGCACTGAGCAAAGTCATTATCCCCAATCTCCTTTTCTGAATCATCATTTATGTCCTGCCCTCTAATCATGAGTATCCTCTAAGGTCCTCTTCAGAATTCTTTGTATACTCTTAGTGATCTCATCAGCTCTCATGGATTCAGTTACCATTTCTGTGGGAATGACTCCCAGACACACACACACACACACACACACACACATGTATGTGTGTATGTGTATATATGTATGTATCATATAATGTGTATATATATATATATATATATATATATCTTCAGTCATTTTTCAGAACTACAGTCAATTGGACATTTTATACTAGGTCTTATAGACATCTCAAACCCAGTATGACCAAATCACAACTCATTATCTTTTCCCACAAAACACACCACTCTTCCTAATTTCCCTTTTTCTATCAAGATCACCACTGTCCTTCTAGTAACTGGGTTTTCCAACCTTGGAATCATCCTTGACTCTTCATTTTTCTTTGCACCATGTGAGGCTAAAGTTTGTAGAGAATACTTCCATAGCTCCTTACCTTTTATGTAGTTTGTGTGTGTATATATCTGTATCTATATACATATTTATATTTTCTTTCTATTTCTATATGTACATGATGTATCCCCCAGAAATTGGTTTGCTCTACACATAGTAGGGACTTAATGAAAAAAGCTCATTGAATTAAATTTTGACTCAGTTGTAATGCCTAAATTTATGCTGAAGTTCACCTGTTGGGCCTATGGAATGGATCCTAGGCATCTGAATATACTCAGAATCAGCACCAGGCTAAGAAACTTGAGGTAAAAAGGATTGTTCTGTGGTTAATACTGGATTTTGAGTTTGCTTGGTGGATTCCCCAGAGTTTTGTTTAACCTAGGAACCCTAACTCTCTCCAAGGCTCACCTAAAATAAACCCAGAGCTATAGCATAGCCCTAAAAAATTGGTCAGCTCCGTGGCACATTGGATAGAGAGCCAGGCCTGGAGTCAGGAAGACTCATCTTCCTGATCACAAACACTTATTAGCTATGTAACCCTAGTCAAATCACTTAAGTCTGTTTGCCTCAGTTTCCTCATCTATAAAATGAGCTAGAGAAAGAAATGGCAAACCACTTCAGTATCTTTGCCAAGAAAATCCCAAATGGGGTCACAAAGTTGAACACAACTGAAAAGAATGAACAACAACAAAAAATGAATGTCCACCACAAGGAGACCAATATGGATTTTCTTTTTAAAAGTCACTGATGTTTATCAGTCAACAAAAATTCAATTCAATATGATTCAGTAGCAATCAACAAACATTTATTAAGCACCTGTGGGATAGAAGGATAAAAAATAAACAGTTCCTACTCTCAAGGAGTTTACATTTGATTGATAGATAGATAGATAAATAGATAGATAGATAGATAGATAGATAGATAGATAGATGGATGGATGGATAGATGATAGACATACATATGAATGTATGTGTATATATGTATGTATATATATATATGTATGTGTATGTATGTGTGTGTATCACAACCTGTGCAAAGCATTGAGGCAAGGTCAGTTCAGCTGAACAGAAAGTGTAAAGAGGAAAATATATAATAATCCTAGAAAGATAGGTTGAAGGTAAATTGTCAATGGTTTTTAGTGCCAAACAGAGGCATTTGTGTTTTTATTCAAGGCAATAGGGAGCCATGGGAACTTATTGAATAGGGGAGTGACACAGTCAAACCTGAATTTTAAGAATATTACCTTGGTAGAAGTGTGGAGGATGGATTGGTGAGAAGAGAGACTTGAAGCAGATCAATTAGAAGGCTATTACAAAAGTCCAGGCAATGGATGACAAAGGACCGAATTCACGTGGTGGCCATGTTTCTAGAGAGAAGGGGATGGATGTAGGAAATATTTGGGGTATAGAATTTTTAAAATCTGGCAACTGATTAATTGCATGGAGTGAGGAAAAGTAAGCAGGCAAAGATGACTTCAAGTTTGGGAATCTGGATGACTGAAAGGAAAGTGGTACCCTTGACAGAAATAGGGAAGTTATGTAAAAGAGGTACAATTTGTGGGAAAGATAATGAGGTGCTTTAGGTTAGGGTGGAGATGATTCAAAGTTTATTATTTGTTAAGCAGCTAGGTGGCACAGTGGATAGATCACAAGCCTGGAGTCGAGAAGACCTGAATTCAAATTCAGACTCAGACACTTACTAGCTATGAGACTCCAGGCAAGTCACTCAACCTTGTTTGCCTCAGTTTTCTCAGTTGTAAAATGGGGATAATAACAGCCTAGCAGGGTTGTTGTGAACATCAAATGAGATAATATTTGTAAAGCTCTTATCACAGTGCCTGGCACATAGTAGGTGCCTAGGTAAATGCTTATTCTTTTCCCCCTTTTATTGAGCACCTATTATGTGCACGGCATTAGGGATAAAAAAAAAAAACATTCACTGGGTGGGGAATGGCAGTTAAAAGACAGGACACAGCACATAAACAAATAAATGAATAAACAGTAATTTGAGAAGCAAGACAGCACACTGATACCTGGAAGTGTCTGGGAGGGCTTGATGGAGGTAGTAGCAAGCAAGCTGTACCTTGAAGGGATAAAAAGATTTAAAGAGACAGAGTTTAGAAGGGAATGCGTTAGGAACACTGGGGAAAATTTATAAGACTATGTAGCTCCCTTTGGAGATAGCTCTCTGCCCTTAGAGGAAGTCTTCCAGGGATTAATTACATGGGGTCTAGTGGTTCAATGTCTCAAAGAGACAGGGCATTCCCAGGCCAGGAAAGAAACGGCACAGTCTGAATTTTGACCACAGATAAACCAAGTTATGCCTCTTGGGAAGTTGGGATTAGTCTGCAAGGGGGACAGAGAGGGGCTCCCTTAGTAGCAGCAACATGAAGGACAGCTCTGTATCTGCTCTATGAAATGACTCTTCCACCTTTAGGACCATTCAGCCTCGAGTTACACACAGAAGCTGAAGGTGAAACAGCTAATTGTCCAATTGAATTTATTCTTCTGTTGAACACATTCATAGGCACGACAGGGAAATAAAAAGGAAGTAAATGGCATAGTGTGTACCATTGAGGCCTATATGGCCATTATAAAGGGCTTTCTCACTCTCCTTAAATGGAAATCTCCCTTAATGGTGACATGTTCCTTACCTCACTCAACTCTTTTCAGGCCCATTTCTACATGCAGATCAGATCTTTCAGTCTAGAAGACTAGGAAAAAAAATATTCTTTAAAATAAGAATGTGTTATGAGAAAGGTAGATCAAATCTGAAAACTCACATTTTCAACATCATCTCTTCTGAAATACGAACATCCTGACTGTAAAACCAAGATAATCAAAGATATGATAAAAATTCAAAAAGAACATTTGATAGTCTATTTAAGGAAATGAGATTAAGTAATAATTAAAGAAATAAGAGCCTATGATTAAAAACCCATCAATCAAATAGAACCAAGCAACCAAACTGTATCCTCGTGATACTGAGCTTCAGAGGGCCCTTGCAGGCTACAAAAGATCCACACTGGGGTTTCATAGCACCCACCTCTGAATCCCTCCCTTTTCTCTCTCCTATAACCCTCCTCATATACCCTATTCTACTCATCCCTGAAAGGATGTAGGTGAGGGTTCTCAGAAAATTAGAATGTAAAACAACCTTTCCTCCCCAACCCCCATCTGTACCATGTCTACTTTGAGTATTTGACAAATTCTATTATGTGTGTGTGTTTTAGATTTCAGCAGGCAGAATAAGCTAGACTCCTTCCTATGGGCTCCAAGAATTAAATAAAAAAGCCCAATGGGAAATGAGAGAAAAGATTAATATGGCTATGGTGCGTCCAGTTCAAATCTGCTATATCTCAAGGATTTCTGGAGAACACAACTGGGCATCTCCTTCTATATTTTGTGTCCAAAACGGGAATCAGGGAAAATGAAACTCATCTTGGCCATTTTGTAAAGACATATTTCCCCCTTGATTTTGATATGACCTGATCCCTTTTTCTTCTTCTTCTTGGAATTTCTTTTTACTATTTTCTCACAGTCCAAACTGAGGTATTTTTAATTCACTTGCATATTGGCCATTCAGTTGTCTGCAGCTGTCTGCAGAGGGTTAAAGATGAGCAGTACTTTGCAAACAAAGAATTTTCCAGAGATCTACATCTCTTTCTGGTTTCCTTTCTTTCTGTGAAAAAATGCAGGAATCTGGGAAACAAATTCCTTCTTTTCCTCCCCCATCCTACCCCCATCCCCATTAATAGTTTCATGAAGAAAGTGCTGCCACCTAAAGGAGGAACAGGAAATTAACAGCTGCAATGACCATAGTCATTTGTCCAATTCTGAATGAACAGAAGTTTACTCATAGGAAATGGGAACCCTGGAAGGACCCTAATAGAACATCTAATCCAACCTGCTCACTTTACAGGGAAAGTGAACTGTTTTGGTGGGAAAATGTCAAAGAAAATGGAAACCAATGCAAGATTGTCCTATCTGTCTTTCACAAAGGGCAAGAAGAAAGCTCACCACACCCCTCAACACTGGTAACAAATCTTGATGAATGGGGTTATGATTTTTACATGCCCAGAGACAGTATGGGTGGTTAGGGTTGCTGAAAATGCTATGAATCAGGGATTGTGAATTTCATGTTCCCAAGTCACTCATAATGGATACACTTCTTGGTTTAGGTTTTGATCTTCCCTTGAAGCTATAAATAGCCCCTTAGTTAGATGTATGAGTGTGGTTAGCTTTTTTTTTAAAAAAAAAAAACTTTAGTAAAAGAACAGCAAAAGAGGTAATAAAAGTTTCATCAGCCCACTTTTCCACTCTTATATCCAGTACTCTGTTACATTTAAAGGCAGCAAAAAAACTATCTATTTTTCCGTGGTTGTAATTCTACATGAAGACTTGTTTCAAATAAGTTTGCTTTCCTGATAGACTCTAAAAGGAAAAGTGAAAAACAGATAGCAAGTACTTATCCTTGTGTGTATGGAAAATAACATATGTGGCATTATCTATCTATCTGGTCTTGTGAAAAGAAAAACATTGGTGTCAGGGGACAGGGGTTGAAATCCCAAATATGATATTTCCTAGACTTGTAACTTTATGCAATTCATTTTATCCATCTGACCCTCCATTTGCACATGTACACAATGGAAATAATGATACTAGTACTACCTACCTCATAGGATGGTTTGGGGAAAAGCTCTTGGAAATCTGAAGGCAAGTATGTATGTGGGCATGTATTGTTATTATCATTATTTAAACAAAAATTATTGCATTTTAATCTTTGTTGGTAATCACTCTAAGGGAAGGAAGAGTGGCCCAAAATAGAGGATGTTAGCAAAATTTTGTTAATTTAACCAGTGACTATACAGCAAGTCACATAAGTACACACCTTTAAAAAATTTTAAGAGATCATAGGCTGAGAATTGAAAGATACCTGAAGGAGAACTGTCTTCTAATTCAAACTCTCTCATTTTCCTGAGGAAACGGGGGCTCAAAAAGGTAAAAAAAAAACTTGTCCAAAGTAACACAAGCAGCACTAACAGAGTTAGGCTATAAGCCCGTTTTCTTAGTCCAAATCCTGCATTTTTGCTCTATACTACATATATTAAATTTCCACTCCCTCCAACATTTTCCACTGTTTTCTGCCCCATTTTGACCTTTTTCAAGTCAGTCAATCAAAAAGAATTTATTAAGAGATAATTAATCCAGGTGTAGCAATTCTCACCTGTAATCCCTTCTGCTAGGGAGGATGAGGCTTGCTTATCCATCCACTGAAGTTGAGGAGTGTTAAACTGCAATAAGGCTAAAGTTGATTGGGAGTCAGCACCAATGTGGTGAGCCCTTGGGAGTGAAGGGCCCCCCAGGCTGCCCAAGGAGAGACAAACTGGGCCACATTGGAAAAACAGAGTAAGTCAAAGCTTCTTGAATCAAATCTATATAGAGATCAAGCTGTGAATGGCTGCTGCACTTCCAGCCTGGGTGACATAGGGCAACCAGTCTCCAAAAAAGAGGTAGCTAACTGTGTACCAGGAACTGTCCTAAGTACTGGAGACACAAAAGAAAAAGTGAAACACTTCCTGTCCTCAGAGAACTTATGTTCATATATATATATATATATATATATATATAGCATATATATAAGTACATATATAAGTATATGATTACTATACACAAGGAAGTTTGAGGAGAGAGTGGACTGAGGTTCATTCTGAAGGAAGTAAGGGATTAAAAGAGGCAGAAGTGAGGAGGGAAATCATTATAGACTTGAAGGACAGCCAATGCAAAGGTACATAAAAAAATAGATGAGGCATCCTGTGTACTGAAGATGTATGCCAGTATGGCTGAATCACTGCGTATGTTGAGAAGATAATGTGCAAGAAGACTGGAAAAGGAGAAAGGGGCCAGATTTTAAAGATTTAAATATCAAATAGAGGAGTTTATATTTGATTCTAAAGGGAATAGGGAGCCATTGGAGTTTGTTGAGTAAAAGAGTAACATGGTCAGACCTGTACGTTAGGAAAAATGCTTTGACAGTGGTGTGAAGGATAGAGTGGAGTGGAAAAAGACAAATGGGGAAGATTGTTAAAGTCTCAGTGAGATGTGATGATCACCTGAACCAGGGTCCTGTTAGCATGAATGGAGAAAGGGGACTTATATGAGAAATGCTATAGAGATAGAAATGATAAAATTTGGCAACTCTGGATATTCAGGATAAGTGAGAATTAGGAATGAAGGACACCATGGTTGCAAGACTGGATGACTGGAAGGCGTCCTTAATGATAACAAGGAAATTTGGAAGAGGGATGGGTTATTTAAGGTTAAGTTGTGTTTCGAACATGTTGAATTTGTAATATCAAGGGATATCCAGTTTAAAATGTTCAATATTCAGTTTGTAATAAGAGATTGGATTTCAGGAGAGCTATTAGGACTAGATGTATAGAAAGATCTTGGAGTAATCTGCAAAGAGATAGTGAATGAACCAGTGAGAGCTGGTGAAGCCATCAAGTAATAAGGTATAGAGACAAAAGCAAGCCCAGGATAGAGCCTTGGGAAGCAACCACATTTACTCAGCATGATACAGATGATGATTTAGCAGACTGAGAAAGCTTGGTCAAGCTGGGTAGGAGGAGGATGAAGAGAGGGCAGTGTCACAAAGACCTACAAAGGAAAGAGTAGGAAAAGATGATCAACAATGTCAAGTGCTGTAGAAAGGTCAAGAAGGAAGAGGACTGAGGGGGAAAAAATTAAATTTTACAACTAAAGCACTAACTGGTAGCATTGAAGAGAGCAGTTTCAGTTGAGCTATAAGGGTGGAAGCCAAATTGTGGGGGTTAAGAAGCAAGTGAGAGGAGAGGAGAGGAGGTGAAGGCAATAGTTTAGATAGCATTTCTAAAAGATCTTGGCTGATAAAGGGAGAAAAATAGGGCAATAGTTATCCAGGATGGTGAGGTCTAGTGGATTCTTCTCAAAAACGGGGTAAATGTTTATTTTTGTAAGTAGCTGAGAAGGAACAAGTAGATATGGAGAGATTGAAAATTAGGGAGTCAGGGGTATGATAGTGGGAGTAACCTTGCGGAGAAGATGGAAGGGAATAGAGAAACGAAGGATGAAATGAGCATTTGAATACTGCCAGGCACTGTTTCGAGTGCTTTTTTACAAGTGTTATCTCCTTTAATCCTCACAATGATTCTCTAAAGTAAGTGCTATCAATATCCCGGTTTTACTGTTGAAGAAACCAAGGCAAGTAAAGGTTAAGTAACTTCCCAAGGGTGCTATAGTTAGTAAGTGTCTGGGGTCAAATTTGAACTCAGGTCTGTCCAACTCCAGGTCCACGGCTCTATCCTCTATGACACCAGGTGGCTCTATGAACAGAAACAAAGGAACTCATGGAGGGGTCAGCCTTAGGAAGAAGAAGATTAATCTCTATTAGATACTGGAAGATGGTGTCAAAGAGCTATCAGAGGAGGAATTGTGAGATGAGGAGAAAGAGAAGAAAAGAGGGAGCTTATGGTAAATGCGCTCATTTTTTATTTTAGTTAAGAAAGAGTCAAGTACTTAAACTGACTGGGTAAGGGTACTGTGGGGGTGCTGTGAGGCTTGAGGAGAAAAAGACAAAGTTTGGAATGGTCATTGTGGAGAATGGGATACAGAATCAATTGGAGATGAGATTGACATCATGTTGAAATTAGATAAAAACTTAGTAGCTCACCCA